AGAGGGAGAGGGAACCATTTCCATGATGCACAATGGTGTCCTTGGGTCAAGATTACCTATTAAACACCTTTTCATGACGACTGACACCAGTCTGGCCGTGGACAATCGGTCAGTCATTTTTTGTGTGATTAATCAAATTATGTTGCCTTCATCCAGGCCTTTACAAGTCAGTCTTACATGATGAAGTTGACTTTTTCGAAATGGAAAAAAAAGAGATTTCTTACTGTAGTTCTTTTAAGACAAGCTGCCTTTTTTACTTTGCTGATTGATTTAATGAAGGACAATTTTGATTCATTCCTGCAAGTTAAATTAAAAGATTTGCTACCAATTTATGGCTTAAAGATGAAACTGGCTTTGAAAATGTTAACCCAACCACTCTGGGTTTGTGTTTTGTTCCCAGTAGTGTTTTTTTAGTGAATTTTGTTACCTACAGATGGCTCCACGTGTGCTCGGCCGGCAGGGAGTCTATCAGTAGGCCCTAGTTACCGACCCTGATTTCCCCATTCCCTGAATCGGTGGGAAAATGTCTTTTTGTTATGAATTCCATTACTATCGATATTATTATTGTTATTTATGTTAATATTATTGAATTTTGTTACATACAGATGGCTCCACGTGTGCTCAGCTGGCAAGGAGTCTATCAGTAGCCCTCGTGACCGATCCTGATTTCCCCATTCCTCGAATTAGCAGGAAAATGTGTTTTTCTTTTTAATACAGTTGACATTGATACTGTTATTTTTTTTATTGATGTTATGATTATTAAATTGATATTAAAATCTCGATGACATTTAAGACAACGAAATAAGGCAAAAGACCCTTTCCCAAAGTCGAGGAAAAGGGTAAACAGGCTACATACGAAGGACTAATAACCGACTCCTTGGTGACGCAGTGATTATAGAGCCATCTATGTGTAAATACAATAAACAAACTTGTATTACATTGGCCATGGCATCTATTCTTGCCATCCGTGCTGATTGGGTTAATAGATAAACTTCCTTTGACAGTTATATTTATATATAAAAATATATGATTATAAATGTATGTGACACACACATATATATTATTTATACTTATATATACATATATGAATATATTTATATATTCATATATGAATATATATATGCATATATACATATGTATATTCATATGTATAATTAGATATCTATACCATAATATTTATAAATATATATTTATAATGTTTTTGTAGGAAACATATGAATAGGTAGATATATATGTGTTTATATATTAATAAATATATTTATATATAAATATATATATATTAATAAATATGTATGTGCATGTATAATATATTTATGTATATATATGTATATCTGTATATTTCTATATATATATAAATATGAATGTATATATATAAATACACATACATATGTTTATATATATGCTTAGTTAAATATTTATATATATATATATATATATATATATATATATATATATATATATATATATATATATATATATATATATATATAAAAGTTTATATACACACACATATATCTCTACATATATATACAAATATATATATATAAACATTTATATATTAAAATATATACATACACAAACACACATATATTTATTTATATATATGTATATATCTATATATATTACAGATATATTATATATATTTATATATATTTTATATATATATTATTATATCAATATAT